GAAAGAGTGGAAAACCACACTCTTCTGATCACATGTAACATTTTCACAGTAGTTTAAACTTCATAAAAAATGTTCTGAATGGGCTCTCACTCTCTGTCCATCATGTCCCTCATACTCTGGTACTCCTGCCTCTGCTTCAGCTCCACGAACTCCTCAAAGCGTTTCAGATGCTCTGTCTCCGAGCTTGCCGCTGCCACCACCATCTTCTCCTGCAGGTCCTGCCGCAGTCTGAGTGCCATCTGAACGCACAGATTTAAGACATCAGTCAGGTGAGAGTGCAGAGCTTCCTGTCTGCATGTCGGGCTTAACACGTTAGAGCTATATATCAGGACAAGTATCTATAAAAGATCCAAGAAATGGTTTTTACTGTGGTTCGACTAGGACTGAAGAGTCACTTTTACTGTGTGCTAGAATATACTGAAACATAAAAGCTTATATGAGACTTCATCTGGTAGAGTCTCTGCCTCGGTGGATCACAGGGGACCAACACCTCATTAGGCAGGTGTCCAGCAGTGTAAGTGATACTGCATTTGTTTATCTATTTCACAAACCTATACAGCCTACATTACGTTGTCACAGAGTTAGTGTCCAAAACACAGGGGGTGTGTCTCACACCCTCTGACTGAGAGATTGGACTATATGAAAATCAGGGGGTGTCTAGTTATTTACAGGGTCGGACTCCTCTAACCAAAGTCACTGGCTCATCACAGCTGCCACCCCAGCGTCACTGGCCAATAGAGACACAGTATTACGCCTCACTCCTTCCTCTGTATTGTAAGCAGACATGCAACCTAAAGATTTTGACTTGCAAACATTTTTGAGTTGCAACCAAAGACTTAGGCTCTACAAACAAAAAACCTGTGCACAGAGAGCGAAGCTTTTAAGAGAGCAATGAAAACGGACAACATGCAAAGAAAAAAAGTGTTAAGTGATACTTTTTTTTTTTATGAAAATAGTTCTCATTTCAAACAGTTGAGATCTTGACATCCAAAACCCATCAGTTACCCAAGGGTTCAGGTCCCCAAGTTGAAAGATGAGCCCACAAAACGGGACTTTGAGTGACAAAAGCAAAACTCATTCCATCTGACCTTGGCCTTTCCTCGCAGCTCCTCCTCAAATTTGATAATGCGGCCGGCCGTCTCCATGGCTTTGGGTGACAGCAGGGAAAGTGACACGGGACTGGAAATGTCACTGACATCCGCCTCCGAGTTTTCAACCTTCTCCTCATCACTTACAGCCTGCAGCACATTAAGATGAGGAAAAGCAAGTCATACGTGCAGGAGAGGCAGATGTAATCAAAATGTGTTCAGACACAGTGACAGGAAATAAAACTATGTTACACTAAACAAAACAATTGTGCCAAACTTGTCAAACTACATTAACAGCATACAGGCTAAAACATATGTATCATACTTCAACATCTGTCATCGGAGAGTAAAACAAAACAAAACAATCAAAAAAACAGTTAATGAAAATGACCAACTGTTGATGTTTGTGGTTTAGAAAAGTTGGAACATACAAGCAACAGATGCAAGAGAAAACAGTACATCTGTGTGTGGTCCTCCACCTTTGAATGAACTTAAGTTTGACAGGCTTTTCTTTCCAATAGAAAAACACAGGACGGACAGCATGCATTCAGGTTTGAAGGAGAGACTTGCCTGCTCAGGTTCTGTCTTTAAAGCTGGGCCTTGATTAGCATTGGTGTCAGGGATAGATCCTGTGGAGGAACATGAGGCTGGGATCTCCTTGGACAGGCCAGGGCTGGAGTCTCCAGAGCTGGAGCTCAGAAAGCAGGACTTCTGCAAAGGCAACGATCCGAGATGATCCAGTACAATCCCACAGTGCGAGGACAAGACGAGGGCCTCTTTACAACCTTCCAAAATATGCTGCAAGAACACAGGCACAATAGGTTCAAGGATTTTATTGCCAATTCACCATATGTGCAGGACATACAGAAAATCGAAATATCGTTTCTCTCTCACTTAGTATTGGGTGCCATAACATTTAGGAACAAAAATTAGAGTAAAGCTCAAGTACTTCTTTTATGGAGCATGGCTAACAGTTCAAATATCTCTAAATCTGAATTTATTCTAACAGACATATCAACTACACTTGTTCATTTTAACACTAGTCAGTCTATACACGCCCCATATACAGCTATTATCTAGCCATGCTAACTATCCATTAGCCAGCTCATGTCTGACTTAGCTAGCGCCGCCTTACATCGCCCCTTTCCAGCCAGTGCGGATCGAACGTGATGTTTCCCTTCGGTGAATTTTTTAAAGCCAGTAAAGTTTCCCATCGTAGATTTTCAGCCGGCATCACGACACACTATTAAACAAAACCGAAACTACTAACTACTGATACTAATAAGTTTTGAAGCGCCCGTTGAAGTTACAAAAATTATTGTCCGATGCGAAACTGGCCACCTACTGCATGGTTCCGGATAGGTCACCGCTCCTCTTTTGTTCTGGGTTTAGTGATCCTATAAAATTGTATTTTATGAAAAATGTATAACTATGTAATGACATCGTTTATTTTGCCATTGACAGTATTTCAGACATGCATAATTAGGCATAAAAGCCACTTGCTCCACAGTGCTATAACTGTGCCAAAATTAAAATTCTTATTTAAATTAATCACAAAGATTCTGGTCTATTAGTTGTACACCGAGTTGAAGAACAGATTGCAATAATTTAGACAGTGTCCTATTTTATGTCTTAAACTGTGGTTTATGTTGACAAATGAGCAAGAATTCCTTCAATTATCAAAATTCTTAATGGAGTTTGGCAGGAATAAGACTATTCTGTACAAAAATGAATATTTAGGCAATCTTAGTCTGTATTTGCCTTACTATGGTGGCATATTAAATATAGGGTATTTCTGGTTTATACTGGCACAAATTGTAGGACCTAGGACTGTAGGGCAACTTTTTTTATTAAGGGGTTTATTGAATGTTCTGTCAGAACAAAATGTATGCATTTGCTAAAAAGTAAAAGAATGAAAGTCAAATTCAAAGACATGAAAGACAATTTTTAAAAATTCCATCAGAACCAAGAATTCTACAGGAAAGTTATATATTCAAATGAATATATTAAATTCAAGGCAACAGCAAACATGTTTTCATTTAAAAAAAGACTTAATTACAGACAGTGCTGTGGAAATGGATGAATGCTGGTCAGCTTCCAAGCAAAGAGTCACAGAACACGTTTCCATATGATGTTTTGAGAAACTGAACATAGTTCTGCAGGCTGCGGTTTGTGGAGTCTGACTGCTCCAGCCTGTCTTTCATGTTCTGCAGTTGACTCTGGAAATGACGCTCCATCTGAAGGAAAACAAAGACACAAAGACAACCCTTTTCAAAACAAACAACTGTATGTCCAAAATCCACTGAGTTCAGCTTTAAACACTCATTTCTCTACCAACATCACCCTGTTGAGGGTTTAAGTCTGTCTAATAGGCACTGACTAAGCCATGACAGTATCAAACAGAACTACTGTGAGGGGGACGTACCTCATCCTTGCTTCGCTGTAGCTGACTCAGCTCTGTCTTGGCTCGGCTCAGCTGGCTCTGCAGGTCCAAGGCTTTGGACTGGGACACTCTCTCTTTGGACAAAACCCTCTGCATGTTGTCATTCACCTGCAGGCCAGAAAGGAAAACATGTTGAGTTGAACTTTACCCGACTGTGTTTACACAGACTTCAGTGGCAAGAACTAGTAAATGAACCCACTGGAATTATCTGCACCACTGTATAAATTTGCCCTAAAACACAGTCAGACCTTCGTCTATGTTACATTTACGAACACACAACTAACTGGAATCGGAGTGTCCCAGTCCAGACTGCAGGTCTGAGCTAGGGCTACACTGACGGATGGATGAAAGAAGTGACTGCGTGGTTTCAGACCTCTCTCTGTGCATCATCCAGAGCTTGCTGCAGCTGTCTGGACAGGACACTGCACTCACGGCTCTTCTCCTCCAGCTGCTGCTGAACACTGCAGACACTGGCTTCCTTTGATGAGAGAGCCTGAAACATCTCTTTGTTTTCTACCTTTGTGTCCTCCAGCCTCCTGCAGCAATCACAACACACAAAAACTGACAGTGTTGTTCTTGTTGAAACCAAAATGCATTTATTACATAAGGTTTTCTAGTAGATGTA